CATCATCTGATTTCTTGACTGCTGCTTCCATGAGTGTTGACAGTTGATCCAAGAAGAATGAAGTCCTTGACAACTTCAATCTTTTCTCCGTTGATGAGAATGTTGTTTATTGGTCCAGTGGTGAGGATTTTTGTTTTCCTGACATTGAGATGCAACCCGTACCAAAGGCTGTGTTCTTTGATCTTCATCAGTAAATGTTTCAAGTCCTCTTCACTTTCAGCAAGCAAAGTTGTATCATCTGCGTATCACAGGTGGTTAATGTTGGGTTACAGACCTTATTTCCATAGTCCCACCCATTCCTTTTGGAGTCCTGGTGTGGTACTTTAGTTTTATGCGCTGGGCTGCAAAGTCAGTTTGAACTGCACGGTCAGAGGTTCAAGTTCACCATCCGCTCCTTGGAAACGCTATACAGGGTTGCTCTGGGGCAGAACTGACTCGATGGCACCTAACAACAACAACAACAACAACAACAACCCTTCCTTTGGTGGGAGTTACAAGATCATTTCGAGAAAGGTCATATAAAAGTGATTCATCACACCACAACTAGCAATGCTTATGTAAGCTTCTAGAAATTTAGATAACCTACAGTCCATTTATTAAAACCACATAATTGTTCCAGAGCAATTTAAATGATAGCAAGCATTCCTCTTATATTGATCTGTGTCTAGAATGTTTTTATCCCAAAATAGAGATGCTCTGACCCTTGTTTTCAATCTCCATCTAATGTAGAAAACTTGTCAATAGAAAGCATTCTCCTACCAGGTTAGTATTCTGTATGCGTTGTTGTCCTTGATCAATCTCCTACGATGTGTGGCTGTCTGCAGGTTGGTTTGTGTATCTTTGAACAATCTGAGACAAACACAGCACTCTTTAAAAGAGGCTATCTTGTGTTGGCTCTGCTCCTAGTTAGATCCATAACTGGTCCTTATGTGGATTATTGTTACCTCTCTGGACTTCAGTTTCCCTGTGAAGTTAGAGGTTGGGACTACATACTGATTGAAGCCCCAGTCTGGCTCTGTGGTTAATAAGTGCCTTTGTCACTTCTGACTCATAGCGACCCTGTATAGGGTTTACAAAGAGTGGAGGTTCAAATTGACCTTGCGGTCCAGTGCACTGTCCCATAGCGCCACACCAGGTCTTAAATTGTTTCACAAATGCCAGTGTCGCATGATGATAAAGGGAATAAACCAACCAACCAAACAAAGAAAACCCAAAACCAAAAACCCTTAGAAGGTGGTGGTGGTTGTTGTATGCCATCGAATCTGTTCTGAATCCTAACCATCCTATATAGGGTTTCCAAGGCTGTAGATCTTTACAAGGCCACAAAGCCGCATCTTTCTCCTGCTGAGCAGCAGCTGATCGATTCTAACGGCTGGTAGTTTCGAACCGCTGAACCTTAACGTTCGCAGCCCGATTCGTAACCACTACGCTACCAGTAGATCTTTACAAGGCCACAAAGCCGCATCTTTCTCCTGCTGAGCAGCAGCTGATCGATTCTAACTATTGGCCTTATGCTTAGCAACCCAGATCGTAATCCACAGTATTACTACCAGGGCTCTTTCCTTTGTAACGGGTGGGGGATCGTTTCTTTGCCAAAATTTATAACATCATTCACAGGCCATACAAAATTATCACCTGAAAAATTAGCCTGCTATATTTGGTCAAACATTTAATTAACTTACCCCTCACTAGCTGCTCCTTGGAAACCCTCGCAACTGACTCTGTGGACTTAACAACAACATGATAGCTGGAATTGTGGTTGTCTTGACAGGGCCGCAACAAAGGACATTCCCCACCCCTGCTTTAGAAGGTGTAGATGGGATACTCACAGTGGAAAAATGAGCAATTGTGAGTTTGCAAGTCAGGAAAATGACAGAACCCCTCCTTCCTTGACTGTAGTGTTACTTATACCCTACACGAGGTCGTTGTAAGTTGGAACTGACTTCGATGGCATTTAACAGCAGCCACAACAAGGCGAAGGCTACTATGCTAAGTTTTTTGTTTGTTTGTTTTTCTTAATAGCAAGGAATGTCCTCCACATTTGAAGTGAGCCAGTGTCTGTATGTGACTCGAGCTATATCACATATCACAATAAACATTGTAAACTTTGGGAATCTTTATAGGTAACTCATTTAGAAATGTGCTAAATACACATGGCAATAACTCCTCTCCATCTTGACTCAGAGGGGCTTACACATTTACTTGAGAACCTAGCTTAGAGATCATGAACTACAGACTCACATGACAGGGTGACATGTAAAATATCTGTCTGACATCTGTCTCTCTCAGGAGGGCTGGACACAGGTGTCTTCTTCCTTCTCATCGTGGACCTCCCTCACTGTCCAGCGACATCAGTTTTGTACTTTCTCACATTTGATTAAATTCAGTAAGCTTTTCTTGTTCCTCTATTATGTACTTGTTATTGTTAAGCCCCGTGAAGCTGGTTCACACTTACATACAGCAACCCTGTCTAGGGTTTCTGAGGCTGTAAATCTTTGGAGGAGCAGAAACCCTCATTTTTCTCCTGTGGAGCAGCTTGTGGTCTTGAACCGTTGACTTTGTGGTTCACAGTCCAGTACTTACCCTACAGAGCCACGTGCTCCCCATTATATACTAGGTATTGGGAAATGAAATATTCACCCTATCTTGTCCCTCAGGAGCTTACAGTCTAGTGAGTGACGTGGACAAGTACACAGTTAAGTTACAGTCCTATGCATCATCAGACAGTGGACTTCTATGTCACATCTAGTGGTAGACAACCATGTCTTTAGGTGCATTAAAGGTCAGCAGAGACTTAGAGAAGGTACTGCTGTGCTGAGATTCTGAAGTATATATGAATTTTCCATTGGACCAAAGCTGGGAGTGGGTGGATTGGGTGTACGTGGATGGATTAGTAGCAAGAAGGTATGCCAGCATATGGAAAAGCCCGGGGTTAGAAACAGGTTTGTGTATGCAGCAGATTACAAACCATTTATAGCTTCTGGGTGATGATGACTTGGTGGAAGCTGTCAGAGATGGGGTTAGATCACAAGGACCTTGGATGTAATACCACAACGTTGATGGGGAGTCGTTGAAGAGTTTGAATCAGAACCTCATTAGCCATGGGTCTTTGAAAGCAATGGAAGCTCAGAGCCCTGAGTTTATTTGTTATTTGTTAACTGTATCATCTATTCCCAAGTCTTCAACAGAGTACTTTATTTGGCACCTCCTTTATGTGGTAGATTTCTGAATCATATTGGCCTAGATTGTAGATGACCTTTAAGGGATGGAATCAGAATCTGTTTTATGCATTCTTCATCTCCTTGGTCTGATCCTTTTAGGCTCTGTTCCCAGTGCCTTCATGAGGTACAGCCATCTTACCTGCTGGTAGAAGTGTTCATTCTGCCTCCTCATGGTGAAAGGAGTTTGTTGAGCTAGAATCCTGGAAACTCAACAGGACACCCCTTCAGTACAAAAGGTGGTGTATGTAAAGGGAAGTGGGGGAAAAACAGCAATGATGTTGTGAGCTAAGTCTGACCACGTTCAATAGACTCCTGTCGACCTGGGTTGATACCTGGTTGGCCAGCAGTCTGGCAAGACCTGGGGACTCCTGGGCCCAGAGACAGAGATCTGGCCACAGAGGACTAGAGCAGAGAGTGAAGCGTCCAGCTGTTATGAAATGAGGGTAGATAGATGCACAAGAACACCCACACTTGCAGATACTACCCACTTACAGAGATAGTACACTTTGGCTTCAATGGCTGGATGATCAGAACTAGACTAGAGGAAGAAAGAAGAGGAAAAAAAGAGTAATCTACTACAATTTGATGAACTTGACATATGCTTGTGGATGCAGTAGGGAAAAGGAGGGAACATATCTTTACAGTGAGGATCATTCCCACACAGGGTCGACAGGAATGGGCAACTTGAACATTGGATACCCAAAATGGGGAGGCTACAAAGGCAAGAAGTGACTTGATTACAAGCTTTCAATAGGGAACCTAGTTCCAGAGGGTATGGGGAAAGGTAGAATCTCCACTGAGTGGTTTCCAACCTGTCTGGATGGGGCTGGTGAAAGGTGATGGGGATAAGACTCCTGTGGTTCAGTAGGGAATGATTGCTGTCAGGACTGACAGTGAGTGTTGGAAAGGTAAAGGTAGATGTTTTGTAAAAAAGGAGGGAAGTGGTTGATTTTGCAGTCCAGGAGTGGAGGTCCCTGGAACCATCAAGGGAGGAAAGCAAAGTTTGGGACCCTGTCCAGAGAAGCAGTAATGCCACAAATGGAGGCAGACACGATGCCGTGGAGAGAAGGAGCAGCTGGGGACTGTAGACTCAGGGAGGTAGAGGGCCTGTGTGCTGACAGCTGGGTGGCGGGCGTGTGGGGTATACCTTTGGTTGTTTGATGATGCATGCAGGGGATTGTAATCATTGCAATGAAATGAATATGATAGGATGAATGTAAAGCTGGTGTTCTCCCATGTATTTTTGTTGTTGTTGTTGGGTGCCATCAAGTTGGAACCGACTCATAGCGACCCTATGAACAGCAGAACAAAACAATATCCAGTCTTGGGCCAACCTCACTACTGTTGACACATTTGAGTCCATCAATGCTGCCACCTGGCCAGTCCATCTCGTTGGGAGTCTTCCTCTTTTTCTCTGACCCTCCATCTTACCAAGCATGATATCCTTCTCTAGCGACTGTTCCCTCTTGACAATATGTCCAAAGTATGAGAGACCAAGTTTGGCCATCTTGGCCTCTAAGGAGCACTCTGGCTGCACTTCTTCCAAAACAGATCTATTGGTTAATTTGGCAGTCCATGACACTTTTAGTATTCCCCTCCAACACCACAACTCAAAGGCATCAATTCTTCTATGATCTTCCTTATTCACTGTCCAGCTTTCTCATCCATATGAGGTTATTGAAAATACCATGGCTTGTTGTCAGGCTCACCTCAGTCCTCAAGCTGACATCTTTGCTCTTCAACACTTTAAAAAGTTCCTGTGCAGCAGATTTGCCTAATGCAATATGTCGTCTGATCTCGACTGCTGCTTCTGTGAGTGTTGATAGTTGATCCAAGAAGAATGAAGTCCTTGACAACTTCAATCTTTTCTCCGTTGATGAGAATGTTGTTTATTGGTCCAGTGGTGAGGATTTTTGTTTTCTTGACATTAAGATGTAATCCATACCGAAGGCTGTGTTCTTTGATCTTCATCAGTAAATGTTTTAAGTCCTCTTCACTTTCAGCAAGCAAGGTTGTATCATCTGCATATCGCAGGTTGTTAATGAGTCTTCCTCCAGTCCCGATGCCACTTTTTTCTTCATAGAACTCAGCTTCTCGTATTATCTGCTCAGCATACAGGTTGAATAAGTATGGTGAAAGAACACAACCTTGTCGCACACCTTTTCCAATTTTAAAACATTCATTGTTCCCATGCTCTGTTCGAATAACTGCTTCTTGGTCCAGGTACAGATTTTTCAGAAGAACAATTAAGTGTTCTGGAATACTCATACTTCGCAATGTTGTCCATAGCTTATCATGATCCACACAATCGAAAGCCTTTGACTAGTCAATAAAGCACAGGTAAACATCTTTCTGATATTCTCTGCTTTCAGCCAAGATCCATCGGACATCAGCAATGATATCTCTTGTTCCACGGTCTCTTCTGAATCTGGCTTGAACCTCTGGAAGTTCTCTGTCAATGTATGATTGTAGCTGTTTCTGTATTATCTTTAGCAAAACTTTACTCGCTTGAGATATCAAAGAGATTGTCCGATGATTTCCACATTCCATTGGGTCACCTCTCTTTTAAATGGGCACAAATATGGATCTCTTCCAACCTGTCGGCCAGATAGTTGTCTTCCAAATTTCTTGGCAGAGATGAGTGAGTGCCTCCTGTGCTGCCTCATTTTCTTGAAAGATTTCAATTTTTATTCCATCAATTCCTGGTGTCTTGTTCTTTGCCAATTCCTTCATTGGCTCTTGATCATATGGTACCTCTTGAAATGGTTGAACATTAACCATTTCCTTTTGGTACAGTGACTCTGTGTATTCCTTCCACCTTCTCTGGATGCATTCTGCATCATTCAATAATTTGCCGAGAGAATTTTTCAATAACGAAAGTCGAGGCTTGAATATTTTCCTCAGTTCCCCCAGCTTGAGAAATGCTGAGCGTGTTCTTCGTGTTTGGTTTTCTGATTTCAATTCTTTGCACATTTTATAATTCCCATGTATACTATCACATAATTCATAATAATATATATATATAAAGAGGCAGTGTATGGTTTTGTTTTGTACTGACAAGTTTCTTTCCTTTATTTCCTCAGCAAAGAGGGAGTGCATGAAATCAGCCTATCACCTGCAGGTGTTTCTAGGTAAGTGAATCCTCACTTCTGGTTGTGAAGTGCTGTATGAGTCAGTTCCGACTCATAGTGACCCTGCAGAGGGTTTTGAGGGAGTAGAAAGACTCATCTTTTCCCACTGAGTGGCTGGTGGGCTTGAATCTTGGACCTTGTGGTTCACCCTACAGTAGAGCCACCAGGCTCCTGAATCCTCATTTTTCATGCAGGTACAGTCTCAGAATATTTTCATTTGAAATACTAGGTACCTTCTGCCCCTTAATTCTTGGGGAAGAATAATTTGGCAGTACCACTTCCAATGCCAGAACAGTTCACAGTCTGTCTGTCAGGTACGTAATGTAGCTTCCCCAGTGTTTCGTATGACTGACTGAGAACTAGGGAGGGTGGGAGCTTTTTCCCAGGGCTCCAGTGTTGCCTTCTATGCTGTGGGCCTTGCTGCTACGTTAGGCTGGATTTCAAGATAATGAAGGAATATATTGGTCATTGTTTTAGAACATTTTTAAAGCATTGCCTTAATGTCTGAAGATACCATATTCATAGTAGACTAATATACTACATTGGAGTATACTTATATATTGCCACTACAACATATAATAGACGTTTAAGATTAATATACCAGAATTGGCCTACTTCCAATTCCGTTAGAGTTGGAAGACTCTATCCTTGGTCCATTGGCTCTCCTGTTGATCATAACTTTTCTTGGAACCTCCCTTTAAAGCAAGTTAAATAGTCACACAGGAAAATCAGGTGTGCTATTTTGGTCCCATCTCATTGCTAATCAGACCTGAGCTTCAGTAGGCTCTTCCAGAAAATCAAATAGTGAAGCTTTACCAGCACCAGGGCTGTTTAGGAGCTTTCAGAACCCTTCTTAGGAGGTCCAAAATAGTTTTTAGATTTGGTGTTTTTGAAACAAAGCATATTTGCAGTGGCAGAAAGAACCACTATTTAGAGAGGTTTCTCTTGCTATAATCAAGTAAGGACCTCCAGCTTTCCCTAGAATTGGCACTGCCTCAGATGACTGGCTGTTAATAAAATGACATGGGGTTAGGTGTTTTATTAGTTATTTCATTTCCTTTGTGTTACTGCTGAAAGAACTGAGGCTCAGAGAGGTTAAGTCCCTTGTTTAAGGTCCCATAGTTAAACGTTGCGGGAGCAATATTTAAACTGTGGTCTCTCTGACTAGCTTAACAACAACAAAAAAAAAAAAGAAAGAAAGAAACAGTAAAAGCCTTCATGCACCCTTTTGTTTCATGTCTGGTTATCCTGACATGAAAAGGCAGTTAACCTTTAGAAGGCCCATGATGACTTGGTTGATGGATATCAGCTTCTCTTGCCATGAGGTGACTTCTTTACCCACAACAGGAGGCATCCAGATGAATTCATTCCTCTAGCAACCGGAGTCAAACCCATCTCTTCTTGTTCTTTAGTTACTAATGCTTCTTTCTGCATCAAGGGTGTGCTTGTATCCTGGCTTTGTTGACGTGAAAGAAGCAGACTGGACACTGGCACAGCTCTGTCGGGATGTTCCCTGGAAACAGAGGACTGGCATCCGAGAGGGTGAGTCGCTGCCTGGCCTCCTTCACCAAAATGCCTTTCACAACCAGTCCTAAGCAGAGGTTTAAAGCTAACTGAGCACCTAAGGATGAATAGGGAACAAGGGACAACCAGCAGTTAGAGGACCCGGAGATCAGAGAGAACGTGGAGGAGTAAGGGATGAACCAGAGGACATATGGCTCGGCTGAACTTTTCTCTCTCTGTCTTTGTTCCCTGCCGTTGATAGTTCAAATGGTGTCAGCTTTCCCCTTTCTTCATAGAAATGTCCAGAGCTGGCTTTTTTTCTGATCCTGTTTGGCAGACGTTCTTTTGCTCTCCTTCCCACCGACTTTCTGTGTTCATTTTGCTTTCGCTTGCACTCTCCAGAGCTTCTAAGGATGACACAGCATTGTTTGTTACCTGACTTGGCACCTGCTCCTTGTACCTGCATCAGCATCTTCAGGATCAGTACCTGTCATACTAGATGTGGCCACTGGGGGGCGGCTGTGCACTAGCATTGCCTTTTCTTTCTGGCACACTAAGTGAGTTGAAATGTTCTGTTAAGGAAAGCGATAAAGTCTACACAGCCTTCAGTTTTGTGACTCCGATGTCAGGATAGGGGGCAGATGTTTCAGGGCAGTGTCTCGCGGATGTCTCCACAGTAGGACCTTTGGTGACTGACTTGCCTTTGATTCTTGGCTCTGTCATTCAAAGTATTTCTTCATTTTAAGCAAATTCTAGTTCAGTAATTCTCTGATCCTTGGTTTTCTTCTCTGTCTAATGTTAGGTGCCACTGAATCTATATAATAGAACTCACAGAAAGTTTAATATAAGGTCATTGATAATTAGTGAGATAATGTGTGGTAAAGTCTTAACAGAAAGCCTGTTCTGTACTAAGCCGCCCGTGAATGTTAGCCACTCTTATGATTGTTGGTCCTCCTTTGTGATTGTGGGTACCAGCTATGAGGAATACAACAGACCTGTGGATAACTCTGTCTCTAAACAAATTTGGATGTCAAACACGTCTGACTAAGATCAGCTTCATTCAGTAGTTGGTCAGAACATGTTTTCCTTCATCTGAAATCACAAAAGCTTCTACAACATTGGGCACATGGGTGAACAGTTGTCTTGTTTCTAGATATGGACACTGTGGCACAGCTTCCTACATAACAATGGTGGTGTTGGTCAGTGTTGTTGAGTCATTTCTGACTCACAGCGACCCTGGATAGGGTTTGTAAGAAGGTTTGAACCACCAGCAGTCCAGTGCTTATCCTACAGTGCCACACCAGGATACAGGGATTAGACACCCAATATCCTGCTGTTTTGAAACCTTCCTTAAATTGAACCCCATTGTGCTCCAATATGACTCCTTTCCTCTTGTCTGTGCCCTCTCACCTCAGTCTTGGCTAGTGCTCTTTCAGACAAAGTGCCTTCTGCTCCTCAAACCTCAAGAGTTTTTGAAGTTAGAACCTTGGGCTGGAGCTCATACTTATTCTTCTTGTGTATTTCTGGTAACTTCTTGCATACTGCATGGTACTAAGTTGGAACTCAGTAGGTACACCTTAAATTGCCCTGAATTATTTCAAAGACCGTATTTTCTTTCTCAGG